ATAAAATAAAATAAAATAAAATAAAATAAAGATGCTCTCCTCTTTCCTTTGTTGAGATTTGCCAATTAAAACCACAATGATATACCATATTATATGCCAACAGTTTCACTTCAAGAGAGATTCTTGCAGATGTTTACTGAAAGAACATTTATAATAACATTGTCCATAATAGAAAAAATACAAATGAAAATACCCATTTCTGGTAGATTATAAGATGTGATATATTCATAGAGATGAAAAATATGCAGCAGTGGAAAATGAAAGAATTAAAGCTACATGTGACAAAATGGTTAATCTTAGAAATAGTATATAAAATAAGCTAGTCACAAAGGAGTTCACTCAATCTAATATAAAATACAAAATTCATGGGTACATGCATAGCACAAAGAATCTATGAATAGCAAGAGGAATTGTTAATACAAAAATTTATTATAGTGGTTTACTCCTGAGAGAAGGGGAGAATCCCATTTGGAATGTCTGCACATAGGCTTGCCTACATCTGGAGTATGTGTTGATCTGGTTGGTGGGTGTGTGGGTATCAACTCTTGTTTCTTTAAAACTTTGCCTTCCTAGGTTATAAGTGAGTAAACACTTTAAATCTCAGATATTTACACAAAGGTTTTTTTGAATACAGTGTTCTTGGAAAGCTAGAATTTTTCCATACTTAATTTCTTGTTCTCAGTTTATAAATTATCTCTGTTTTAAAATTTATATATACATTCACTGATCTTTATGTGCCATAACTTCCAATTTTAAAGAATAGGAACAAAAAATAAAATTTAGCCAAAATTAAGAAGATAGAATCAATCCAATATTGCTATGATTTAAAAAAAAAAGTTGAATAGATTAACTTTCAGTTTGAAAAATAATTATAGGGCACCCGGGTGGCTCAGTCGGTTGAGCATCCGACTTCAGCTCAGGTCATGATCTCGCGGTTCGTGGGTTCGAGCCCTGCATCGGGCTCTGTGCTGACAGCTCAGAGCCTGGAGCCTGCTCTGGATTCTGTGTCTCCCTCGCTGTCTGCACCTCCCCCACTCACACTCGGTTTCTCTCTCTCTCTCTCTCTCTCTCTCTCTCTCTCTGTCTCTCTCTCTCTTTCTCTGTCTCATAAATAAATATTGGGGAAAAATTTTTTTAAAGAAAAATAATTATGGATGGATTTAAAGAAAATTCAGCTTTATCCTGAGTAGAGTATATGGAAAGAAAGTTTGAAAGGTTTAAAGGGTGGGAAATGCTGTAAAATAATGATATTAATAAAAGACCTGCTATTGCCACTATAAAATAGAATTTAAGGTATAAAAAAGGTGTTTGTTTTTACTGTCTTCAATAATTATCTTCCTGTTTATCCCATATACCTGATCTAAACAGCCTTCTGCTCCTCATACACTAAATCAGCTTTTGATAGTGCCTCCAGATCTCTCCATGTTAAAGAGGAATCAAATCAATCCTCATCTTACCTAACATCAACATTGGATCAATTATGTTCTGTCTTGAAACACATTCTTCTTCCTTGGTACTATTTACTTAGCTTTTTTTCCACTTCATGGAGTCTTTTTGCTAGTTCTTCCCCATTTTCCCAAGCTTTGGGTTATTTAGGGCTCAGTCTTCACATTTCTTTCTTATTCTCAATGACTCCTCAGTATTTAGTCCCATGGTTTTAAATAGCATCAATTATACTAATGAGTGTCAAATTTGTATGTATAGATAAGACCTCTATCCTATA